GCCTCAGGTTGACAGAGTACGAACTGGTGCGGGGTTCAGGGGGGCAGATGGAGGCACCACATGGAAGCCATGCATTCAAAAGAGAGCAGAGGGCGGACGGGTGGGGTGGGGGGGCAACCAACAGCCCACAGATGGAAAGGTGAGGGGCGTGTAGGAAGAGGAAGGTGCAGGAAGGGAGGGAGGGTGGGGGGCTATAATGTGTGGAAATCCTGCACTGTGCTGCCAAATACAAAACAACTGATCACAGCACAAAAAAAGTGCCAACTGAGCTGAGCGTTCCACACGCAAAAAGACTGGCCGTGGTCAAAACTGCAGATAGTACTGTAGACTGCATCATGGATTAGAGACTCTGTACTTTTAACTAAAATAACTCCTCCTACCTCTGAAATCACTAACCAATCAGTGGGCACAAATATTGCTGAGCTGGTGTGTATTGGGACTCTTCAGCCATCTGTTTCTAAACCACAGGTGATGTAGGTTAGAGCCAACACAGCTCATACACAGTAGCTTAATGGTGCTAATTGCTGCCTCCCACCTCAGAGAAAAGTAAAATGTAATAATGTATTGATAAGGTTTAATGATTTAGGCATATTATTTCCTCCAACAACAATCAAGCATAACCTTATCTACCATGATCCACAGGTAATCCGTGTATCATTTGTTCTTTTTGTATTCGATACAGAATCCAGAATAACAGCTTCTTATTCATACTTTTATGCTCAAGTCAAAAATAGGAAATTATAAAAGGGCCACAGAACGAAACTAATTTCGATATTTAATGATTTGTGTAAACAGGAAGTTACTTCACAACATGCCCGAGAATCCTCCAGTATTTAAGATTTCTTCAGTATCAAAGTAATTTAGTGATAGTTGTCAGTAAATCTAATAGTACACTACAAAAATGTACCTGTTCATAGTTAATCCAGCAAAATTTTCATCATTTTCCAAAATGTAAACAAACCTTTGTTTCCTGTTTTTGGACTTGAGCATAAAATCAAAAATCAAAAGCCGTTAGAAGTTTTTTGTGTTGAACTAACAAAATAAATGTATAATGTAATTGTCTGTTTTTGATTCTATATGAATATGAAAAGAATGGACAATACAAAGATTACAACTCAAAGTATCCACGATCCATCCTCAAGTACTATGCACTATTTAAAAAAAAAATCCAATTGCCTGATCTGACTTTACATAACTACTGTGAAAAGCTTTGTGAGGACAGTGTATAGGCCTTGTGTCATGTTACTTACGTCTCAAACTCCAGACAAGTTTCCTGACTGTCTGAGTTTACTGGGAATTTTACTGTACCAGTAACTGTAACACTATTTGCAAACAAAGGGTAGGTTGTAATAAAAATCATGCATGTTTTGAGCATTTGCAAGTCTTTTCAGTTAACAGCTACACTTAATCTATAAATCAATAACATTGGATATTCAAGCCTAGAGATTATTATCCACTAGCACAGACACTGTGGTTCCTATACATAAAAAAAAGCAGCTTTACACTGTTTAAAACAGTCAGTTTAAGTGGTTATAATAAGTATAAAATAGACAAATAGAAACACAATCTATTATTTCAGTTCATGCCCATAACCTCAAAGCCGCAATTTAAAAAAAAGGTCTTCAAGAATAGGAAAAAAAAGTTCTTCAAAGAAATATTTAAACACAAAATATTCTTACAGTCAAAAATGCTTACAAAATTTAATAAAATAAAATACAAATATTGAATATACTCATATAGTATATACACTACATGATAGTAAAAAACAAAAACCTGAGGCACAGGTGGTATGTTGTCTAATCCCGAGCTGCACTCTGGCCTTTACTCTGAGATTAGTTAACTGAAAAGACGTTTGCAAACACTTCTCCGTGCAAAATGACAAGACTGCAGACTTGAGTTGAACTGAGCGGGCATTTTAAAGATTGGTACAAACCTTTAATGCAATTTTGACTCTTTTAATCTTTTTGACCTTTTCAACTGTCTTTTTGCCGATAACAAAGTGTAAAAAAATAAAAATAAAAAAAAAGAAGCAGATTAGGAAAAACGAAACAACAAAAGGGCGTTAGAGTTTGACAGCTGACAAGATCACTGAATTCATAACAGGCAGGTTATTTAGCAAAACAGTGCAGAGAAATGATTGAAAAAAGACAGATAGGCGGATAAAGTTATCTTAAAATAAAAGAAAAACCTTTCAACAGCATATCTGCATGCAGTCAAAGAGGCAAGGAAGGTGTGTCGGGTACAGTAGTGTCACTTACCGGATTTAAAGTGTTACATTGATCTATAGGATTCTTGTAATCAGTCTTCAGTTCATCAAATGCTATTATCTGGAGGGGAAAAAGATAGTCACAATATAACAATTTATCATTTGATAGACTTACAATGAATATGCACAAAATGCTAGATGAGCCAGTAGGACAAAACTTTTACAGCAATGCTACTTTGATGTATTATTTTTATTTTCATGCTATATCTTATTCTATACTAAGAGAAGCACCATCATATAAAAACTCCATTTCAAACAATCAGAACTTTCCCAGGATTATAATCCCTCTCACAGAACAAACTCCTTCTGTTCTGTATATTTACCTTGATTTTGTCTAATTAGCCTGCAAGCAATTATTGTGTTCACTGTCAGTTTATATTGACTAAATAAACACATATGCACATTATACATGTCAGTTTGAAAACATATGTTTCTTGAAACCAGGAAGGTAAACATACTGTATGTTTGTACAGTAGACACTGAACAGTATGTGAATCGTCACATCGTACTTTTTAACAACAATCCAAAAACACCAACTATTTACAATAAATAATAATGTAATTCGGAATAGACTAATCGATCAGCTCAAGTGTTTCAGCCTCACTGTCAAAGCAATGTAAACAGTCCCTGTTGTTGTTGTTGTTGACCCATGAAACTTTGACTGCTGCATCAACACTATAAAACATGATATTTAAATGTACATTCACAGTTTTATTCCAGGTCGTTTTTATTATCCCGAATGGTTAACTGGAATAACTAGTGCAGAATTATCGTTTAATGTTACTTCTATCAACTAACTAACTGTACACCTGCTGTGGGACAATCGTGAGTTAACTATGTAACTTTTTGAGCCACGTAACCTTAAAAGTTTACGCCGCACTGCTCGAGATTAAAGACAATAAAATTACGAAATGTCGGGAAACCGGTGGACGCTCATAGAAACGGTTGACAGCAGAACCCCGGAGCGGTTTCCCGTTCCACGATTGGAAGTTACGTTAGCTAAGTCGGCTAGCTAGCTACAAGCCCAACACCAGTCATTAAGACAAGTTATAAGACGTCTGCTGTAATCACACAACGCTTAAAAAAAAAAGGCGAAAACTGTTTTTTTAAAAAATTATAAAAAAACGATGTAAAAAACTAAATAAACAGCGTTTGTCTCGGTGTTTTAACTGCTCGCTAATTCTAGCTGCTAGCCAACGGCAGGGTGTGCGTGTCATTCATTCTAGAACGTTACGTGTTGTGAGCACGGGGCGCGAGGGAGTTTAGCCTGGATACGTTCTGTCCAGCCGTTGCTAAGATCGGCGGTTTTTAGCTACGTAGCTCAAAAACCCGAAAACCGTAGCCGGGTGTGTGGCTACAAAGCCGGCCTAGCGTTAGCCCGGCGCTCGCCAGCCTTCCCCGTCGCTCTTTCACCCAGTTTAATCGGCGCCGTTGGAGCGGCAGGCCAACGGTCTTGTCTAAAGTGGTCTCCGCGTGTACTTACATGCCAGATAGCGAAGAAGATAAGCGCCGCCGTGAGCAGCAGAGCGAGCATGTAACAAAAGGCCGCGAATGTGAACGCCATTTTTGTTTTTTTTCTTCCTCCGGTTCTGCTCGTCGGTTTCTGGCTCGGTCGGCGGGTGATGCAGGCAGCTTCGCAACCGTTTTGAGATTTGTCAGCTGGTCTTCTTCTTCTTCAGTGAGGGTTTAGCGAGCTGGCATCCTTATCGTTGCATTACTGCCATCTTCTGGAGTTATTTATGTCTTTCAGTGTTTCTTTGAGTCCACCAGTCTTTCTCTTCTCCCAATTACAACGTTCTTTAAATTCATTGTGGATAGTTTCAGTAATAAACTGCTAAATGGTAACATCATATTTGTGTTTTCTCCCTGTAAAACCAAAACATCCAATTCACTTGCAAATTATAGTGTAATATACTAATTAAAAACAGGCTATAAATGGGCTTAAAAGACACAAAAACAAAATACACTTGCAGTGATGAAACATTTGATTCCATTACAAAATTATAAATTATTATTATTATTATTATACGGCTCGGTCTTAAAATATTCTGCCTTCTCTCCCAAGCTTGGCACAAAAAGTTTGCTAAAGGAAAGGCTCCCTTCTTGAAGCACAATTCCAGTTTTTCATAATCATCAAGCCAAAAGAAATCATCATAAATTGACATTTTACTAGAATCCCTATCAGGTTTATTGCCAAATGAGTTTTCACATACAAGGAATTTGCCTTGGTAAGTTCGTGCATAACAACAAAACATAGAAAAAATATAAATAGATATAAAAATAGAGACAATATGTACAAATATAAAAGGAGAGACAATATGTATGTAGCTTATGTCCTCCTGACAGGACAGGAAATCAAGTTTTAAGATATACATATAAGTATTCTACACTGTAACTGTTATTTATGAGACAATACGTTTGTAATTTTGGGTTATATCATATATCAGACCAAATAAAGAATATCAAAGAAACTTCTATCTCCGAATCTCCTGAATATCACAAAGTAACCCATTAAAGTAAAATAAGGATTTCAACTCATTAGGCCAGGGGTGACAATGGGAAATGTACCAGTTAAATATCTTTATGAGCAGACATCTTCACAAGCCTAAAGCAGAAGCATTTGACATTTATGTTTGATGTTTGGAGGTTTCCATCCGATATCTCCAATATATAATATTCCATTATTTATTTAATCTGATTTGAAAACAAAAGAAGTCACTAGAAACCAGAGGGGTAAACATCACTGTCATTTTATTTGGACAATAAGACAATAGACACTTTATAAAGTATGGGAAAATACAAATATCTCAAGTTTCACTGATGCCATGAGGCAGCTGGTAATGATAAATGTCTCATGTGTTTTTTCATTAAAAAGGAAACAAATAGTAGGCATTTGATCGGAGAGGACACCAAGAGCTGAACAACACATTTGCAGGTAAAAGACTCAAGAGGCCTAATATACAACAGTTTCACCACATAGAAGGGAAAGCTATTAGATCCACAGGACATAACCAGATACATGGCTCAATATCAATATATTGGGGAGCTTGATTTTGAAACATGATCAGTGGACAGTCTATTACAACCCACTTCCATTAAAAATAGCAGTAGCAGAGGGTTTCTTCAAAGAAAGCACTGTCAGTATGTAAAATATTTCACATATAGTAAGAACACAGCTGAGACCAGATGTTTGAGAAGAGTTCCCCATTTTTTTTTAAGAATCTGTGCAAATAAATTATATCAATCGAATCAAATTCACTGAATGTAAAATTTTCTGTAAAGAGATGCATGCAACAAAGACTCAAATATGTCATCAGGAAACTTCTGTCAGGCTTATGAAAACTGTTCACTCATAAAACCCATAAAGGACAGCATACTATCAGCTCAAGTAAGAACAGAAACCATTATAAACATGAGAATTACCCACATTGGAGTTGTGTTTTTCTGTTACAACAGCATAATACTGGATAATGTGGAGCTGACTGTGTGGAAATATTAGCATCAATGGTATCAGTAGACAGTAAAACAAGTGATTACAGTTAGACCCCATTGTTCCTGCTGGATTAAACCCTGTCCTGACATGTAAATCATAAATGATTAATGTCTTAACATTTGACATCTATAAATGATTTACATGAAATGGTGTGATTGTGCGCACATATCTTTGAGCCACATCTCTGGAAAAAGAAACTTTCTATTATTTTTCCACAACCAAGATAACATTAAATAGAAAAAATAAATGAACTTTACAGATCAGAAACATTAGTGTCTTTTAAAAACAACAACATTATAATCCCTCAAAGCTTTTCCAATCAACAATTTTTCTCAAAACATATTTGTGTATATGTTGAGTATCATTTTGGCCTCATAATTTTTTTAAAAACTGACCTAAACATGCCAAAAATAAAAATTAAGACAAGGCATTGGTATGGTAGACTTAGCAGTATGACATCACACATGGGGTAGTGACTTGCCGCCTTCGGGCTTTAAATCACCACAACCCTCCCTTATCAATTTCCAAAGTAGGAGTTTCCCAATAAGAGATGACACTGACGAGCGAACACGAATTAATTTGTGCCTATTATTCTTTATTAGGGTCAGACCAATATACAGAACTGATATTTAGCTTTAATTAAGAATCAGAAATCTGCCACTCGAGTCATCCACCACCATAATAATGGAGGTTTCTGTCTCACAGCTCACATGAAACCAGCCTTTAGCACCTGAAATACAATTTAAAGTACATTTTACGTAGCTTTAACTATCCGGAGCGGGTCACCCTGCTGTTAAGAGCCGCTAATCCCTAAAGTATTAGCAACTGGTTAAGTGTGTTGGATTTGTTTAAATCCTGTTTTAGAGGATCTTCAACAGGAAATAAGGAAGAACTATTAGAAGAACTACAATAGAGTCCATAGGCGTTTGGAAAGTGACACATTTTATGTTATGTTTTAACTCTGTAAAGCTAAAATTTGACATGTTAACCTCAATCTGTGTTTAATTTAAAACCCAACATGATAGAATACAGATCAAACGCAACAAAAAAAGTGTAACTTGGATATTAGAAATTGGCACAAAATATGAGCTGCTGGCACATAGTGTACAGAAATGTCAGTATCAGCCTTTAAAAAGCGATATTGGTCAAACCCTGTTCCTTATGGAAAATGGAAATTGCCCAGATGCTGTCCTTTACCTACCAAAGTCTAAATATTAAGCACAACTGGCATTTGGAAAAGTCACAGCCATCATTCTCAAGGCTGTGACTACCACTAAGCAATCAAAGTGGCTTTACATCAGAATGAAGCACAACATTCATTAACACTAATAACAGCAATAGCTATAATGCACAATATTAGCTAACAATCTCCCTAAAGACGCAGTAACTCACTTGTAGAGTAGCCCAGTAGATTAAAAAGAGGGCAGGTAATGCCCCCTGTGTGCAGTGTTTTCAAGACTGTCATGGTCGCTTGAGACGGAGGTTTGTTGTAGGTAATAAATTGTTCAGACTGGAATGTTTGAGTGGAAATATTGTTTTGTAGGAGTGTAATATCGTTGTAACAAATATGCAGGTCAAAGGCAGACTACAGCTTTACCCAGGAGTCACACTGTTTTTCCTCTAAACAGAGACAAAAAGATGTGATCTGAGGATGGACTAACAGGCAAATCTGCAGCGTGATAAGCAGCACTCGAGGGCCCCTCGAGCCAGCTTGTTTATGTGCACAGAAGGTACGACACATCATAACTCTTAGGACTGCCACTTGTCAAAAGGTCTTAGTGTTGTTGTTATTTACAGTTTGTTACCTAAATTATAATTTAAAATGAATACTGAAGGCAAGACTGACTAAAGCTCTATATCATTCTCTGAATTGTAGCTATGATTGTTCAGATGTACTGGCAGGAGGTTTGTTTACACCACAAAAGGAAATTACTGCTATAAAGTATATGCTTATATAACCCTAAATACAGCAGAGAAAAACCAAAAAATATCTAAAAGTAAGACTCCCTCAAATTATGGAAAATTATTAAAACATAAACAGGTGAAACTCAGGTGTAAAAAAAAAATAGTGTAAACTACTTAAGGAACATGTTTAGGAAGGGCAAATGATCAATTTCTGTCCATCTTAAGAGCTATGGGAGTGTTAATTCAATACAGACACATAACTGGCATATGGAGAGATTGTATGGGACACAACAGCAGACCTGTGTCAAATAGTATTTTCAGTTTTAGGCTGCTAGATGGGTGAGAGGTTTAGTTACTGCCACACATGTCCGACAGTCACAGAAAAGTATACAAACTCATGTGACTGTCTGAACCTTCTGGCGCACCGTAAACTTTACCAAAGAGGCCTAAAACTGAGTACAGGAAGTATTTGCAAACACTATTTAAATCAGATCTGGTACAAAGAGGAGGGAAACATTAACTGTGGTGTGTTCTCCCCAAGAGGTGACACAAGTTGTGCAATCTGGATCCTCCTCACATCCAAGACCACTGGATGAGATGACTTTAGCCAAAGAACCCAAGTTTCTCTCTAAGCCATTCCTCTGTTAGGTCCTCTGTGTTTCTGATCTCAAACACCTGGTAAAAAACACAAAAAGGTACAAAGAGCAGGATTTAGACTTTTCTTTTAATAAAATAAGGGAAACGTCCCAGAATATGGCTTAGTGTAAAGTATGGTACCAGCTTATAATGAAATAGATTTTACATAATGTAATAAAATACTCTAAATGGATGAAATTCACATTAATTACATGACATTGCCACATTGATTGGCACAATTATTACAATAATGTAAAATTAAAATACTAATGTTACATTAGCAAACAAGACTAAGAGTCTATAGCCATACTAGCGGCTGTGAGTTTGTACTTACATGGATGCTTTGAGCTAAATGTTATTAAATGTTAAATGTTTACCGTGTGAGTTTTATTGTTTTATATATTTTTTTCATTGCTAACATTTGCTAATTAGCACTAAACACAAAGTTCAGCTGATGCTGATGGGAATGTGTGGGAAGGTTTTGCAGCTAATTGGTCATAAATCTAACCCTAACCCTGTCTAATACTTTAGTCTGATGATTGCGCTGAATGAAAAGTTAAGATGATGATGGAAATTCATCCAATAGACGTCAAGATATGGATATATATTTTGGACTGTCAGACCTAACAGTTGTGTTGGTAGCGTGGCAAATAAAATAATGTAATTTTGTGATGATTTATTAGATTTTAGGCACTTATCTGGCAGATATAACACTATTCTATTACAGTGTTGAATTAATGACACCCTCGTACTACTTAATTATAACTTAACATCAGTGTTAGTGAAGCAGCTCACAGATGGCCTACCAACCTTGGACAGTTGAACGGTATGCACCAGTTTGTTTTTGCTTCCTGCGTACATCATCTGCTGCTCTGGTCTGCAACCTGTCGATCACAAATAAGCGCAGCGTTACTAAAAGTGTTCTTGAAGATATGATGAACAATATGCACCATTAACCAGTAACAGTAACCCCAGAGGTGTTCTTACCCACTGGACTGGAGAAGATGAAGCAGAGAGGATAGGAAACACGTCCATCATCGTGCTGGTATTTGTAACTGTAGACGATAAATGTTCTTGGTGCTAAGGACAATTCACAGATTTTACATCGAGACTCGTTGCAATATAACACGGTCGAGACCGAAGGAATACAAAACTAAAACAGGACTTGACTCGTTAATTCATTTAGCAAGAGTGAACGGAATTAATTAAGATAATACATTTATGTTATATAATAATATGTTGCAGGAAGAATATGTTATATTGGTAAAATTGGAAATTAGAGAAACAGCTGGAGTGCAACAGATTAAGGGTAAGAGGGTTAAAAATAATTTAAATACTGTTAAAATAAGACTTATTCAAAGGATATCTCGGCTGTCTCTCAGGCAGTTCATCCTTTAGATCATCAGGAGAAATATCCTTAAAAAAGACAGATAGTGAACAGTTAATTGAAACACTCTGTCTCTGTTGTTGTGCAATGTGTTAAGTTAAACTTTATCTAGAAAACCAATGACCCATTAACATTTAACAGCTATAAGGCCAAAAACAAGTTTAACCACACAAAGTTAAATACATTCAAAAAGTATAGTATAGTGTGGATTTAATTACTATTTATTCAGCTTAGTGTCTTTAAATTTAAAATTAAAATGTGAAAGTTGAACTTGTTCTGTATTACATGCAGAAACATTATAAATGTGCATCGTATTATAATGAGTTTAATCACTAACTTACCTCATGTTCTTCTTCAAGAATAACTAGCTGCTTGTCTTTATCAATCTTCACTGAGGGGTAAAAACATGAAAACATTCAGTCAACAGCTGCATGGAAACCATCATGAGTTTAGTAGTGGTAGTAGAAGCAGCAGTAGTAATGGTCATGTTAAAAAGTTGCACATTTTAACAGATTAAAATACTAAGAGGACGAATAAAACAAAAACAAAGTCCAGAGTCCATGGCATGCAAACAAACTAATCCAATTTAACAGCAATGACATTTTGATCCAGAGATAGGGGAGGATAAAGCCTCACTAAACCACCTCCTGCTGTATGTAGAGGTAACTCTTCCCTCTATTTCCTCCATATATATACTGAGACTGGCTTACATTTCACTATCTAATATCAAGCTAGTTTTTCTTTTCATTATGTAGGTTGGTTTGACTGAATGTGTTCACTGATAATACAACATCTGTCTGCAACTGCCTGACATTAAAGACATACTTTAGCCTTCTGAATTCTGATTTCTTTTCGAGAATACCCTGGCCTTAATCACAGATCTGGGGTCTGTTTATTTGTGAGCATCCCCATCAGCTGTATCCTAAAGCAAGGCTAGTCTTACTGGAGTTTGTCCTTTAAATGTCAGCTGACGGTGGCAGAAAGTCAGTGAACAGAACTGGGCGTGGTCCTGGACTTCGGTTAGAAAACTAAATTCTGTTTCTGAAAATATTTTAAGGTGGGAAATGAGTGAAGCAGATGCTGCATTTGGATTAATTTAAATAGTTAATTTATTTGATTCAGGAGTTCAAAAAGGCCGCCTCCGTTTTTTGTCTGACACAGCAGGAAGCAGTGCTGCTATCTGCTGTGTTGTACTTTCAACCCACAAGTGTTGACTCATGGTTTACGTTTTACTGAAGGAAGCCAGTTTCATCCTCTCGTTTACTGTTTGACCTGGAACACATGATCAAAACACACGTGAGAGAAGAAACTGAACGACGACTGTAGGCGAGTACTCACTAACGATGGCCGCATTATTGGTCTCCTTCCGGAAACGAAACTCCTTCAGCTTTTTAACCAGATCTTCATCCACATCACACACCACCAGTGATTCACTCTGAGGAAAACAGGAGAAACACGCAAACACATGGATGTGGTCACTCCAAATTGATAAACTTTGTGAAACACAGATCCAACCCACATAAGTTACATAGTTAACAAACCAAAGCATTAGCCCAAAGGACACCACACACAGATCCTGTTGTTCGTCTGGATAAACTAATGTTTCTGATTTTTAGGTTTTATATGTAAGATTATACTTTGCTGCACCTGCATCAGAAAGTGCCTCCTCACATCTTTTATATCAGCTACATGATGTGCTTTTACATTTGATAGGAGAGGAAATAGTAATATGATGGCTTTGTTCTGCATAAAGCGTACAGAGACTGTAAGAAGCTTATACTGTCTTTCAAGTCAATATTTTTCACTTCCTCCTACTTCACACATACATTTACAAAACATAGCATAAAACAGTTAAACAAAGATGTGGAAAAACTCCTGCTTTTCTGTGAAATAATTTCTGTCCTCCTCATCCCATATTAAGATTGATTTATCTTTACACTGAATGTATCTAACACCATGAAGATTAATGCAATAAATGTCATTTATTAACTGTCATCCGACCTTAAAAGTACAGACAGACAAAGAAACATGAGAATGTAAAGCAAACACAAACACAGTTCCTTATTACATCTGTGTTACTGACTTAATGGACTGGAAAACACAGGACAAGAACTATTATATTACGACCTAAAGAATATGTGCAGTTTATAGCATTGGTGTAAGCAGCTTATGTCCTTCAACAAAATAATACTGACCAAAATAAATTGTGGGCACATTAAAAGATATATAATAAATACTGTGCTGCAGTAATGAACATATGAAATGTTTAATTTGTCATGTTTTGTTGCTTAGAATCAAAACATATAAATAAAAGTTTATGCATCCTAATCTACTGTTAAATAAGTGGTGTTTATTTTGACCTCCTGTGTTTGCAGAGGGGTTTATATGTATAGAAGACAGCTGCAGAGTCACAGACTGCAGCTTTAAGTGGGGTTTCATGCATTTTATTGCTGTAGCTGTACAGCTGTGTTAGCATCCTGAATTACCTAACAAATGGCAAAAACTACAACATTTCTGCAGGAGTCCAATCTGACCCACAGGCTTTAGCCAGACACAAAACAATATACCAGTCTCAACAGGGTTTTATGTCACATCCACACACACACATAGATTACATAACTCCTCCACAAAGACATAAACTCTTTTAAGAGTCTGACTCTGAATTCTATAATTACACCTTCCTGAACAGATGGCTGGTGGGAGTCAGGATTTCACTGAGCTCAGGGAGAGATCTTTACAGATTAAGAAGAGGCTGGAGTGTCTTTGATTGGGACTAAAGGAGTTGGGGAAACTGGATGAATAATGGAAAATGATTGGAAGGGGGGGGGGGATACGAGCAGGGAGGTGGCCACAGGTCTACTTCTGGTTTAAATTCCTCCAGCTTCCTGACAGCGAGCTCGCTGGTTTAGGCTGCTAATTCATCCAGGAAATGAGAGTCAGCTAACTTAAACTATCCAGTCAATTGTAATCCCTCTCATACGCTGAACTGAGGCAGTTCGCTTCGGCCTAATGTTGATCGACACCGGGGACAAGTCGAGCTGCCATGACACGCAGTTAAAACCCCGGAGGGACACACTGTTCATCATGATAGACGAGCTAGCGTTGAGGCTGCTCCCCAGACCCAGACGTGTTGGAACAACACACCACTGCGAGCTGCCGCGACAAGTTCACAACACACAACCGCACCTTTACAGGAAGCACGCTCTGTGGGTCTTCAAAATAAAAGCAGCTCCAAAGCGACTCAAGTGGAGCCAGGCTCATTAAGAGCATAAGTGACTAGCCAATCTGATTTGATCTAGTAAATAATCAGCAGATTAATCAATAATAAGAGTTATTGTTAAAAACATAAAACTAGTTAATACAAGTGCCTTCACACTGTGATCTCTCTTGACTTACAGTACTTTCACACAACAGGCCAAGCTGACTTACTAAATTCTTCCATTCAAAAAACAATTAGTTGTGTAATGTAAAATGTTGTTCTTATTCTCAGAAAAAAACACCCTGGTCAGCAAAATAATTAGTTTTACAAAGAAGTGTTTTATCTTTATTTTTTGATTAATGCCAAATATTGCAGTGCATTAAATTTCTGTTGCTGCTTATTATAATGATTTTGAAGCAATAAAATTTGATTGAAGTTTACAGTGTGTATCTAATATTTTGTGTGGTAAAGGAAATAAAAACATTGTGGTTAATACAGAACAGAAACACTAAACAATGCTGTGAAGTACAGTCACATCGTTTTTCTTCTTGTATAAATGTAGGACTTACTGCAGTTTAAAGTCAGACCCTGGACTTTCCACTCATATTTGCAGCAATGCAGCTTGTTCAGTAAATAAAGTAAGTCTTACTCTGTACATTATTAAAAATTCTGACTTTTGTCTAAGTTGTTTTTTTAATGGTGCTAAGAGGAAACGCTTAACAGCCTTAATTGGTTTAAATTGTAACTACGGTTAAAATACAATGATGAACAGAGGCAATTCTGATAAACTGTGTGAAATTTTACCTGATATATTGTTTTCATTTTTATGACATTTGCTGTCAAAATAAGGAGCATTTGCGCCCACACCAATTTTATTCTGAAATCCTAAACCGGAAACCCCACCTTTCGTACTGTGTCTACCTTCACACTCATCCAATGCACAGAGGGTGGCACTAATGCTAGGCTAGGAGGCTAACATTAGCCAATCTGCGACCTTACTTTTCCCCCAAATAGTCGTCGGAAGTTCACGTTTGTTCAGAGCACACGATTAAAAAGCCGAAAGGAAACTGGCGCCAGCTCTGTGACAACAAACCCTGAACAACTTACCATTGTTGGAGAGTTTAAAAAATGCCTGAAGCTGCAGCTGCTGCTCTGAATGGTGGAGACGCTTTCAATGTTTTTTTTTTTTTTTTTTTTTTTTACTTCACATCTCATCTTGTGACTGGTTTGACCAATCCCAAACAGGCGCACCCCCCTCCCGCAGAATTTGGTCATAAATCTCTCCTCACTATTGTTCTGCAGCTTTATTAATTTATTAAAACAAATTGAAAAAAGCCTCATTAGAGAGACTCTGCAGCAAACAGTGTAAACAGCTGCCTAAAGGAGGCAGCAGCAAAACTTTTAGTTATTTGTGAGTTAGGCTTTTTAATATACAAAAGATATGCTATGCTCATTTTATAGAATACAATGTATTGTTATGGATGAAACTACTCAACAAAATGAAGTCCACCATGACAGTAAAATGCTACTTACACATTAATGCTTCATTATTACCTGCAGTAATATACTATATAACCTAATATAACACTAGCAGGGCACATAATGAGTACTTTTTAATTCATTAAGTACTTTTTGCTGCCTGTTTGACTGGACTTTTAGAAGAAATATCAATTAGGACTTTAACTTTTTGGCAGTTGTTTAAAGATCCCCTCCACACATGTAGACATATATTAAAATGATATGCTAGGAGCAATAACATGTTAAAGAAAAAAAAAAGTATAATACCCACATTAAAATCCATCAAGAAGCTATGAATATGCAAACATTGTTCACTTCTAAAGTTTTCCTGTTAGACACAAGATGTCTCCTACTTCCCCGTAAAGTCCTTGTTCTTGTTCTCAGGGGACTAAAGTATTAAACACCACTGAACTGTGACAGACTAAACAATACCAAACAAAACTATGATACCTGCTTAATCTCTCAGTTCACAGAGAAAATAGGTCAAATTCAGCGTAGCAGCTGTCCACATGTGATCTTACCAGCCGTATTAAAAATGTAACAAAAACCTTAATTTCCAGAATCAACATTCACTAACCAACAGGGCAAAGTGAGCAACTGACCTCAGATCACCAGAGGCCTCAAACGCACACACAACAGTCACTGTTTGTTTGGTAACACGAGCCACTAAAACACAATATAAACTTAAACGGTAACGTTAAGATGGGGCCTTTATTTTTACCCAATCCATCTTCTTTTCCTCTGACTCCTTCGTTTCTCTCCCACTTTAAGTTAATAACAAGTTACTAAGTCTCTTACAGCAAAAACAAAGACAGACATTGTAGAAAGTGCAGAATAGCAGTAAGTGGCTTTAATTTGATTTGCTGACATAATGATAGGTACAGTAGACACTCTGTAAAATACATAGACGGCTTCAGCCTGTTGCTGTTGCCTATAATTTATATATATATAAACTGTATATATTGTATATTCTGCAACACCACAATCTTTAAAAACTCATTGTTTTAATTTCTGTCAGCACATACTGTGGAATACATCTATTTCCATTTTTATTTTTCACTTATATGTATATACATATATTTCTACTCTATTTATTTGTGTTAGATATTGTAATATAAGTATTATTTCTGTTCTTTAACATTGTGTGAGTATAACAACTGTAACAAACAAAGTTCCCTCTGGGGATCAATAAAGTATTTCTGATTCTGATATATTTATGAATGCAGTAGACAGTCACATTAGTCTCTGCTGAGGCAAGATTGAGCTCAACTACGCTGTGATTCCTGGGGGCCACATAGGAGGTTATTACGGCCCTGAGTAGATTGTGCATTAAGAGCTAATATAGACTTTATTGATCCCAGAAATTCACTCAGCTACAGCAGCTCCAGATACAACAGATAAGGAAATACACATTAAAGAAATAAATAATCGCACAGGACAATAATATATACAGCAGTATAGATTAGAGGAAAAAGTTATTTATTATTTTTTTAAACATTATTATAAAAAATATATATAATTTTTTTTATGTAAGCTATAAAATTTGCTTTAATTTTTGGATTTTAAAACATTTTTCTCAGTTTATTTATTTTTTTTCTTAATAACTTGTTGATTACTTTATTTGTGTGTGTGTGTGTGTGTGTGTGTGTGTGTGTTTGTGTGTGTGTGTGTGTGTGTGTGTGTGTGCGTGTGCGTGTTCCGGAACGCGCCCTCCCCTTGTCAGAGTACGTCATCAGTGACGCCCGCGCGCTTCCTGTTGAGAGAGTTGTAGTTCTGAGAGCGGATCCAACGTTAGCTTGTAGTTCTATGCCTCGGCAGGCTAAATTAGCTTGCTAAGTGGCTTCACAGCTGGACGGAACATCACTTTCACCCACTATCACTTGAGAGGAGTCAATCTTCTGGCGAGGTAGCGTTAAATTTCGGGGTTTCTTTCACTACTTCTCCTCTTTTAACGCCGCGGAGCGACAGATAAACAAACAAGCTAACCATCTGAGCGTTAACTAGCTGCTATGAGCTAGCTCCGTGGCCAACTAACTATGTTAACATCGGTTAACTTGATATTTTAGAAACCCTACGTCCCCGTTAGTATGCAGTTAAAGTCAGTGCAGCATCTGTTTGTCTATTTCAGTCTGGTCGAGCTGTTTCGACCCTGCCCAAGTGCATTTTGTTGATCACCAGTCGGGGATGGAAAGATTTACTCTGCTGTTACTCAGAGCCTCTGTGTGACATACCTACCACTGTGTGACAGCTCGTTGTAATCGTATGTTATAACTTCCTAATAAAACTAATGAGACTTGTGTCCTATCCTGTTTTGTTTTAGATCATGTCGGATTTCTCGGTGAGTTCAAAGGCTTTTTCTATAATTTTACATAATTTTGTGGATTAGAGGCAGCTGTTGGTGAAACAGATCTTGTTTTGTATACTGAGTCACTTTTCCTTTCTCTTGTGTTTTAGCTGGCAGATGCCTTAGGAGACGACAGCCCAAGCCAGGCTAAGAAAATAGGGAACACTAACCCGTCTGCCCCGGCCAGCAACCAGCCACATCCCACAAACCCAGGATGGCCTGGTTCAGCCCCAGGGGCTCCCACCCAGCCCTCCGCTCCGGGTGACTTCGCCGGCGGATCATCTGGCCCAGGGGCTCCAGGGCAGTTCCCGTTTCAGTCCGGCCCTGGTGCACCAGGGCAATACCCAGGACCTCCTTCAGCACCTGGTGGGTTCCCCCCTGGTCCTGGAATACCTGGACAATATCCACCTGCACCAGGAGCTCCAGGGCAGTTCCCCTCCAGCCCTGGAGCCCCTGGGCAGTTCCCCGGGCACTTCCCTGGGCAGTACCCACCTGAAGGAGCTCCAGGACAACTACCCGGAGGCCCCGTTCAGTACCCAACTGGACCCTTTCCTTCTGGCCCTGGAGCTCCCTCTGGGCCTTATCCAAGTATGCCTTTCCCAGGAAGTCAGCCAGGTGGAGACAATGGGATGTACGGACCAGGTGGTCCAGGTGCATTCCCCCCTCCAGCTGGCCCTGGCTCTTTCCCTGCATTCCCTGGTGGAGCATTTCCCCCAATCCCCCCCGGGTCATGGGGACCACATGCAGGTGGAGGCTTCCCTCCTGCCCCTGGTCCCTTTGGACCTGGCCCAGGACCGATGGGTCCATATGGTGGGCCTGCCGCTCCAGGAGGCATGATGGTGAGTACTTGCACTGTTTACTAATTACATTTTGTTGCTTGCTTGCTGCATTTGTTTGCTGATGTGTTATTTCTCTGGTGTACAGTGGTGCAGCTCTCTTTTTGGGTCAGTACAGCTAAATGTACATCTACACTGTCAGCCACTTTAGCAGCTCACCTGCTATTACATAAATATTCAGTTCTACTCTGGTACAGGGTTTCTTCTTAAAGTATGACTGACTTGGTGGCTGGTGGAAAAAATAAAGTTTTCTGCAGAATGGTGAATGTTCAGTCAGGGATGTGTTTGGATCATTTCTGTGTCTTGGGCTCTGCTGGGGTGCAAAGCAAAACATAAAGCAGAATCAACAAATATTCCAAATTAGTTATCAAAAATGTATTTTTGTCTTTCAGCCCAGATATAATCCACCATATTATTGAAAGCAATGAACTCAACTTTTCAGTCGGACAAGGACATCACTTCCAGAATCAACATATGGTTTGATTAGGCTACATTAAATGTGGCAGAGACTGAGTATATACACAGTATAAAGTTAGGGTTTGTGTTCAATCTGCCTGGGGGAATGTATTGTTTTAAATTAGTGCAATATGATTTAAAGTTGTTTTTTTTTTCCTACACAAAACTGTTTTCTGTATTACGGCACTTTTATATTCTCACATAAAACCACAGTTTGATAATAATTTGTATGTTCATCACTAATTTCCTCACTAACCTTTTGTCTTATGTCATTTTGCTCAGAAGTTTGTGCAATGTTTTGTATTAAAAATGTAAAAAAAAACACTGCCTTTTAATTTAACTTTACATTGTCTTGACTAATCATGGTGAATTGCATAAGTGTTTAACTAAATAAAGGTCGATGGTGACTCATTGGGCGTTGCATTAGGAATGTGGGGAGGGTCAAAGTTTTGAATAATGTTTAACCAGAATTCCCTCTTTATGATATTAAACACTGTTACCAAGTTCAGAGTATTTGTGATAAAATGTGAACAGTTCTACTTCTGACTCCGGGGAGATTGTAAACAGAGTAAACACAGTTTCCATTTGTGTATTTTTGCTTAATAAACACAGTTAAACGTACTTTCTCATTATGCTTTTTTTTTTTAACTTCATTTGTTGAGAATAATAAATGTATTGTTGTGATTTTTAAAAATCTTAACATTTCTTGCAGATGATGCCGTATGATCTCCAGCTTCATGCTGGAATGATGCCACGACTTTTAATCACAATAGTTGGGGAGCCCGTTCCCGGTGCAGACAGGTAGGTCCAACATTCATCCTCTAATGCTGCTGTCAGTGATGATTTCTGTTTGAGGAACATAAACTGGATGTCTTATAATAACCCTGCATCCACCCAAATCCTCCAGATCATATAGGCAGTGTTGTCATCTGAAACATACAGTTCACACTTAAATGTCAGTCAATAATTATTTGTACTTTTTAGGACCTTTTTTTAAAATTAAAGACCAGGTGAAAAAGGTTGAATTTAAGCACCTTATTTTGAGTTTACCCACTTTATTTATCAATGCCCACAGGTAATAATGTTAATGTTTTGTCATATGGTGCTGTTGCTGAGTACTGCTCCATCGTGGACTGCCTGTGAATTGTTTCTCGAGACATAACCGATGACGACATGTTGCGTAGTCTTAAGGGTGGAAGCGGCTGTGGTGGTTCACTCATAGAACGTTCCATCATATAAAATATTAAAAATTGCATTTGCATATGCATTTAGTGAAACTATTGAACATATCTATATAACAGGCTATTATTGAGAGTGTAAGGAAAGAGGCTTTTGTTCTGCTAAATTAAAATACTCTTCCAAAATTAATTATCATTACTGTTATTTTCTGTTGTTTTATTAATTGGACAGTGGGAGGATGATTAGTTGTCAGCAGCACTCAGTCCTGATCTCTTTTTCTTGCAGGTTCCAAGTCGACTTCATCAAAGGTTCAGACGTCGTCTTTCACTTCAATCCTCGATTTGATCAGCAAACAATTGTCAGAAACTCCAATCTAGGTGGATGTTGGGGGCCAGAGGAACGAGAAGGAGACTTCCCATTTGTTCAGGGACGCCGTTTTGAGGTAAATTGTTGTAGTAATGGAACTGCCAAAAAGATTTTCTTTTACATTTCATTCATAATTGAACCTTTCAACATCAGTGGTCCACCCACACAGGTGTGTTCACTTATTGTGCTTGACCGGACCTCTTGACCAGACCAGACTTGACTTTGATTAGATTAGAGCTTTTAAAACGTAAAACAGAATGACATTTATCTTTTTTTATTTATTATTATTATTTGATACGCAAGACTGATGGTGGATGATGTGAAACAAAGATCCTGAATTGAAGCATAGCTCTGTCCAACTTTAACCTGATGCTATGTTCACGTCACCTGGGACAGGAAAGATTCCCATGGTCATGACTTACGAGCATTTATGTCACAGGACAACTCAAGACGATTGTATGATTACAGCGTTAGTCGGGTGAGGGTTAAGAAGAGGTGGATATACCATTAAATATATGCGATCCATTAGTTTAATCACGAGCAATTCCCATTTCCTTTCATTTCAGGCACTTGCATATTATGAAGTTCTAAGTGGGATGTATAAAAGCTTTTAAATAAGTTTCCAAGTCATAATTAAGATATGAAGTTGACACGAATGTTGTTTAGAAGTCGGAAACCTTGTAATTATGATAACTCAGAAATGAAATGCCCGGCATGAGAAAAGGTCTAATCAGCCAAAATAGATTAAAAACACCTGTGTTGAGTGTGCTGCGCCTTTAGCGTCAGACTAACGGCCAATTCAGGCAAAATCCAAAAAAGTTGTTGGTCAGCTTCATAGTGATGACTCAGCGGGCCATGGTGGAAGGGCATGTGAGGTGCATTCATTCACATTCAAGTTCTGTGTGTCACACCAGATATTGAACATGGGTGTAACTGTTAGTCATGGTTAAATACTGGGACATCCCCATTCACTCCAGATTGCAGTCCTCAGCTGCAGCTTAAATACGCATCAGTGTGAAAACCCTCAAATTCTTCCAGACATGATGTCAATTTATGTCGTAAACAGCAATGTTGGATTCTTACATCATTAAAAAATGGTCACCTATAAATTATTATTTTTGCAGCGGAGATTCAACATATTAAAATATATTCCCAGAGCAGAATTTGTGGCTCAGCAGGGCTTGTTATTGTCAGTGTTTATTTGTAGTACCATAGGTTTGCTAATAACCCTACGATTGGACTACTTGACATTGATTCAACATATTTAATCTGTGTCACATTCACATAAAAACATGGCTGTTCACGGTGTCACAGGCAGGGTAGGAAATTAACTTTTTAATATGTGCAAACCAATATTCCAGGCAATATTCAACAGCCACTCAATAGTAATTCATTATTCTGTGACTAAGATCTACCAGCCACTTGATATTTTACCAGCATTTGGCAGATGGTAATTTCCCACCCTGGTCACAGGTCTCCAGAACCTGTTAACCCATTAATATCAGTGACAAACTCGTTATTCTACTGGTTCAGTATGAAAGGAGTATTAATCTTCCAGATCTCCAGTTTGGTTAAGACCGCTTTAAAGGTATAAATAAAGAGACTTTCCAGCAGCATTCAAAGCTGAAACAAGTTATTATTTTTGTTATCGATAAACCAGGAGATTTTTCTCAATTGATCTTTGGGTCTATAAAATATGATGATCACGTTTTCCCAGAGCCCGACGCTTCAGATTGCTGGCTTTGACTTTTGATTGGCAGTCCATTGTCCAAAGATGTTTAATTTACTATCATAGAAGACTGAAAACCAGAAAATATTTACATCTAAGCAGCTGGAAACACTGCATTATTTCTTTAAAAATAACTTAATTGATTTATTAATCAGGAAAACTATTACAGATTGATTTTCTGTCGAATTGTTTTCACTCTACCTCATCATACCTTTTCTTGTTTTCTGTTGCTCTCCCTGCAGCTGAAGATCCTTGTGGAGGAGGACATGTTTAAAGTGGCGGTGGACGGCAGCCACCTGCTGGAGTACGAGTACAGAGTCGACGGGTTGGAGGAAGTGACCCTGGTGCGAGTGGCTGGAGACCTCATCCTCCACAGTGCAGCCCCGAGCATGATCTGAATCTCAGAGCTACTAAACCACACGCTGTACCGGAGACCTAGGTCAAACTTTACCACCGTATTTGAGATTCTTTCAAGTACCTTGATGGAGTTTTTGAGGCAGAATAGTCAGCGAAGTGCAATCTTTGCCCACCTGAAGCTTCTTCATTTATTACAGAACAGACAGCAGATTAACCCAGGTCTGCTCACTATAATCCTATTTTCCTTTTTACTCGCTGACATCTCATTTTATAACCACTCACAATCCAATATCTTTTATGACATAACAATATCAAAGTAGTGAATGAGATTAAGTGAATCTAAAACAGGCGTTTTAGGGAATTACTAATTTATACCTAATGAAAAGATTGTAGGTGGAAAAGTGTGACATGTCCCAAATGTTTTCCACTAGTATGCTGTATTTTGTTTACAGTACATGTATGTTTAATTCTATCCTTTATATCAAAATCTTGACAGGCCTTTGTAATGCATGAGAGCGTGCTGCTGAAAATCAACTTGGTTTCCTTTTCATCGTCTTACTTACAGCGCTGGCCGACCCCACCCCTCCCCTCAAGACTCTCTGGTCTGTTACCATACAGTAGGCTAATGATGAAGTTTCTTAAAATGTATTTATATACTGACTTTGAGCTCCTCCTTTCCTCAGTATTAATGCCCCTGAGCTCTCAGACTGGAGGGACTTATGATTTCATGTTGAAGTCAAATAGTTAAAAAAAAAAAAAGTGAGGCTCAAGTAAAACGTTGGAATGGGGAGGGATGAGGGTCTCTTGTTGATTTTGTTGCCAAAGATAACAGTGGTACAATATTTTGAGATTATATGCTTATAAATAAAGGGCAACAAACAAATAATGACTGATTATGCTGTTTGATTCAGAATATTGTACACTTTTCATGAGCTGCCTGCCTGTACACATAATAAATGCTAGTTTCCCCGTTCCCATTCTTCATTTTATTGAAAAGGGGAGGAAGCTAATCCGGTTAGCAGCCACACTTTCAGGGTTTCATAGGGTGGAATGTGTATCGTCATCATAATCTTATTTATATTATTTATAGATGGGGAGGGAGGGGATTACATGCAGCAAAGGGCCACAGGTCAGACTCTAACCAATGGATGCTGCAGCAAGGACTCAGCCTTGGTACATGGAGTACTAATGAAAGAGAAAAAATAAAAATCAGGATACAATTAAATAGTAAGAGAAGAATAGAATAGAGTTTAAGATTATTAAGATTTAAATCAGAGATATAGGTACTTTAAACTTTTAATACTTAAAGTACATTTTGCTACTAATATTTTTCACAATATTTTAAATTCAAGTCATTTTAGTGGAGCATTTGATCTAAATACTGCACTGCCAATAGATTAACATTAGTACATGTATTAAGTCACTTAAAAATTATTAACACAATTTAAAAAAAAATACCTGATACACTAAGGCACAGGTAAAAACAATAGAATCTAAGTTTAATTGAATATGTGCAGACAGACAATAAGTGTTGTATGTTCTGAGAGTATAAAAATAAATACATTTACATACATACATTTTCCAACCTGGGGGTCCAGGCCCCCACTAGGGGCTGCCAAAGCTTCATATTTATTATTAAGCAGTGATAGAAAACTAGAAATCTCAGCACTTGGTTCACTGAACAAAAGTAAATGTTAATAGAACAGTGGGCGAGTGTCAGGGAAAAGAAAACACTGAAATACCAGGAAAACTCACTTCTGATCAATATTTACAGGAAATGATCTGCTCAAACATCCGAATCACTTCACACAGTTCAACTTCTTACAGTTATTGAATTCACTGTTCTGGGTTAATTGTACATAACAGGAAATATCCATACATATGTCTCATAGTCAGTCATCAGTTTTAATAAATGATAGAAAAGGGTTACCTTTAGGAAAAAGGTTGGGAACATATGGAAGTCCATTTCCACCAATGTGACAGGGAAAAAAAGGGATTTTGTAAATCATAATGAGAAATGTTCTCTTAGTAAAATTACTTAGCAGCATTAGTATCTGAAAATAATGAGAAACTTTCTCAATATTTAAAGACATTAAGTCATTATTTTGAGATACTAAGTCATTTTAAGATATTCACTCAAAATATTGAGAATCTTTGTCATTATTTTGAGATAATAGTAAAAATACTGAGAACATTTGTCATTATTTTGAGATACTAAGTCATTATTTTAAGATATTCACTCAAAATATTGAGAATCTTTGTCATTATTTTGAGATAATAGTAAAAATACTGAGAACATTTGTCATTATTTTGAGATACTAAGTCATTTTAAGATATTCACTCAAAATATTGAGAATCTTTGTCATTATTTTAAGAAATTAACTCAAAATATTGAATGTTAGTCATATATTGAGATATTAAGTCAAAACATTGAGAAATTATGTCATTATTATGAGATACTAAGTCATTATTTTGAAATATTTACTCAAAATATTGAATGTTAGTCACATATTGAGATATTAAGTCAAAACATTAAGAACATTTGTCCTTATTATGAGATAATAAGTCATTATTTTGAGCTATCAAGTCAACACATTGAGAAAGTCTCTTATTACAATGACTTACAGGATTTTTATTTATTTGTTCATCCCATTGGCAGAAATAGGCTTCCATATCAACCACCCCATTACTGCACCGGGGGAGTTACCTGCACTGCTTTGCCTCTGCTCTCTCTCTCTGATTTGCCTCCTGCTCTGCTAATTCAAAGGTCGGCCTGCAGTTCCGTCTCACCCCACCAGGGGGCAGCACGACCACAAACCACCCACAGAGCCGAAGGAAGCAAATCGAAACTCCTCAATGAGTTCACCTTCAGATAAATAGTTTCTCTCTCTCTCTCTCTCTCTTTCTCTCAACCCCTTCTCCTTTTAATCGCTTGGGCGTCTTGAGAAGATGAACGGCTCCGTGCACTCCTCACCCACCGTGGTGGACATTAAACTGAAGCGGGGACCGTCAGGTAGGAGGACGGAGCAAAACTTAAAGCAGATGGCGGTGGACGCTGCTTTGCTAACTGGCTAGCTACGTAGCAGCCGTGGAGCTAGTGGGGTGTCCTGGAGGCTAATGGCGAATCAAAAACTACACAAACCTCCTGTGAAGTGTTGTCGTGTCGCAGTGGGAGATGAGTTTGTGTTACGGAGGCAGGCTGAAGTCTAATGAGTCTTTTTTTTAATCTCCTATAAACGTTTATTGATGTACTTTTAAGGCTGTGTTTAAGGTCTTTTTTTAAAAGTAAAGTGCTCGGCCTGTGAGACTTTCTCCACTTAAAGCCAGTGGCGTTGGATAAGTTAGGAAGGTTTATTTAGCCTCCTCATGAGGGAGTAATGTCTGGTTTCACACTTTGGCTTTTGTTATGTAACATTTTGTGACCCTGTGTGTCAATTTGAATCCACCTCTGAGTGGGTGTGCAGCGTTGGAAGGATTCCTCTTGCACTTTGATCCATTGAGATAAATGTTATGTTTGGATCAGCAGCCTTCAGCCCTGATAAACTATGAGATCTGTGTCTATTGAATTTCACCCAGAAACCTCTGTGTCATGCCAGTGTCTGTTGTTGTTTTTGTTGTTGTTTTTTCAGGCTTGGGATTCAACATAGTTGGGGGCGTGGACCAGCAGTTTGTTGTGAATGACAGTGGCATATATGTGTCCAAAATAAAAGAGGATGGAGCTGCAGGCCTGGATGGGAGACTCACAGAGGGAGACAAGATCCTGGCGGTAACACACGTTGACTTTATCAAGGGTGTCGGATGTAGAGGAGAGTGCTTATGATTTATGTATAGGGATGGGATGATATATGATATTATCTGTGAATATCTGAGAAAGCTGTATAGCTCGCCGGTATACAGTCCTATGTTGATATCCTGATTTATTTTGAACAAGGTGGAGCCAACATCCTGTCCCCATGGTTGAAGGCTTTGTATCTCCTATAAAATATTTAAATGAGATGTGTGTAAATAGTGCAGATTACAAAGTGAAAAACAGGGAGAGGAGGTCCGTGATGCACTAAATAGAAGTGTTTCTTAACGAAATGTAAAATGATTCCAGGATGTTTTAGTGCCATTTTAAAATCAGAAAGTATATTTTTTATAATTATCGTGATAAAATCATGTGTTGCAATTATTTTGGACAAGATAATCATCCCATGACTATTTGTTTATCTCATCTCTGTAACACTTTGCATAACACACTATTAAGTTGCACTTGTTACTATTTGATTTATGACCTGATCTAACCTGAATAATAAAGTTAGAACTAAAATAGAGCTGCATATTTTTTTCATTAATTGCAGCCATTTTCAAACACAGTAATCCAGTAGAGACCTAATTTATTGATATGATTGACTTAATGTCAAAGCTAGTTAGAATAAGCCCCATATAACCGTGTTGTAACCAATTTTAGTAGCTGATTTAGTTACATACCAACTGGTAGTTACTCAGCCTTTAGTGTCAAACTAGAACTTACACATAGCTGGTGCAAGAATGGCCAATTTTCTCTATAGCCCAACATTTTATATATTAAGGAATGAATTTATTACTGTAATCCAGTAATACTCAGCTGATTCTAAAGTGAAACTAATGATTAACCGCAGCTCTTACTAAAGGTCAGTTATTTGATTAAAGGGGATGATGAATGTAAAAAGCACTCACTCATTGTTTTTGTTCCATGTGCGTCGTGTAGATCAACGGAACGAAGCTCGAGAATCTGACACATAGAGACGCAGTGGAGTTGTTCAGGACAGCAGGGGAGGACGTAGAGCTCCGTGTCCGGAAAAAGGTGGGTGGCCTTTAAAATGACCTCTTCCTAGTATTCAGATGTTTTTACTGGTTTTGTATTTAGTTTGAGAACGGTTTGGTTTTAATTGCACCTTTTAATTTTAATACAACTTTATTGTCCACAGGCATGGGAAATTGTCTTTAGGTCACCAAACACATAAAAGCAGCATAAGAACAAGCAACATTTAAAACAAATATGGCAACAAATCACAGCACAGTAGTAAAAGAAATACAAAAAAAAGTATGTGCTGATTGCCGATGATGTCTCTAAAGTGAAGGGCACTCATAGCTTTATGTCTCGCTCTCACTGTTTACAAGTTACAACTCATAAAGCTGAAGACAAACTCACTCTGCGTCCGTCCAAAGCAGCATCGAACCATTAATAACCAAATGTTATCTTCCATCCGGTGAGAACAACGGCCTAAACAATAGCTACACATTGCTGACGATGTGAAACAGCACTTCTGTTCTTGCTCCCTGAAGGTGAATGTTTCATTTCATAAAAGTGTAATTATCTTTTATGGTGTTCGTGGAGGTGGTCTACCATGGGAATCCCTGAGAAACCATGTAAGGTAACACCAGTGAACTATGTCCTGTTCAGAATAAGAGGTAATGTCAGGGCAACATCCAGTTCCACCTTTTATACCACTGTGGTTCTTCCGACCAGCGGCGCTCTGCAGCAACATTTCCTCAAGAAAGAAAATCCTGATATTTTTTCACAGCTGTCACACGCTGAGCAAATATATTTACCACTAAGACTAAAGTCTACTATAATTATGTGTGATGGAATATAAAAACTGTTCTATGGTGAGTTTTATGAATTTTTTGACTGTAAAATCTTCAAAACATAATTTTTTAATGGTTTTATAAACTTTCAGATGAAAATAATGCTACTTGTGCTTCACTCGTGTGCCACCAGAAGAATGTATCTTTACCCATTAATCTTCCTTTAGTTTGGTGGAATGAATGAAACACTTGTTGGCAGCTGGTTTGGCGAGTCCAGCCTCACTTTTGCTTTTGAGGATTGGGTTTCACTATTAAAGCCATCCCAGTGGTTTTACAAGTTTTAGGCTTTTCAAATGTTGCACTCTTTGTGTGTAAAACTATGTATAAATTCCCAAAAGTGTGCGTCATTCTGCCCATTTGAAC